CGTCCAGAACCAAACCCAAGCGCACGGCGCGTAACGTTCCGCGCGCGCCTTAATGAACCAATAGACCACCAATGACGGTGCCCCACGGGCCGCTTTTCAGCTGGGGTAGCAGTATAAGCGCAATCAGGTACCGCTGCCTCGGCCTTGACCAGGAGGTGGTTTTTAGTCAGTAAGTGTCTGACATCTTTTTGCCTTATCCTGGGCGAAAAAAGTCATTTGATAGTTTTCCCCCCATAAAAAAGGGTGTTAAAAATGTATTTCACTCCTGCCATCATCACAGAAAATAAGGCTTAGGTATCTAAACAACCAAGACTATAAAAATACCAAATATAACTACGCATTATGATTCAACCAAGCTGTCAAAAGCCGTATCTACCATACGCTAAGTATGTAAACAAAACCTTACATCAAAATCAATTAAATTGACAGGCGATTATAAACAAGTGCCTTAGTAACATGAATATAATTGCAGATAACGTCAGTACAATCACAATTCGTTAGTACATAACAGCACATGAAACTCCTTTAAACTAACAAAATTCTTCAATCGATTATTGACTCAATCACTTATATTTTTAAGTTGAAAATGTATTACATAATAGGTGTAGGTTGATCAAAGAATTAAATGTTCATGTATTATTTTGATAAGTAGGTACACCACAAGTAACGATTTCTTTGATGTTGTTACACGAAACGTCACTAGCTCCTAGTCTAATGAGCTCTTCAGTACATGACACCCACAATTTGATTGGCAGCTCCTTGACTATTGAGAAGGTAATGTAGCCGTATTTGTTCCTCTGACTAAGACCTTATTGTTTATATTCAAGGAATACTCTCGCTCTATTATGGTATAATGTACTGGATGAACCCTTGAATTCCGCATGCCCATATAATTAATTATAATTAATTTGGTTGTTTTTACCTATATTCAGATACCAGAATTATTTATAGGAAAGAGTAGAAGAAGGAAGGAGGGTGGTTTTAGTCAGTAACAGTCTGAAGGCTATCATTTTCTTGAACAACGAGGAGCAATGGTTATATTCATTATACCATACGTACTGTTTAGACTATGCAATTCACTTCTTTCATTAATTACATGCACAAGCAATGTTCATAAATTTTCTCAAGATTCTACGCATATATAAAAATCAATGCCACATTTCATTGTAAGTTTATAACTCAACAATGTCTTTATCGATTTGTCTAATTTTGGTCTTTAGTTTTTCGTAGAAGTCCAGAAAAGGTTTGTACGTTGAGAAAATTAAAAAAACAATCTTAAGAAAGTGTTTTTTTTTTACTTGCTATAAACTAGTGCTTGACTGCGATCCCACTTAATGGTAAGCAGTGATGCATTCGTTGATGGTAAGGCGCACTAGTTTATTAAGAGCCTATTTACTCTAGCCTTGAAGACACCTAAATTATATTCGGACGTAAAGACTGCAGCCGGCAAACTGTTCCAATCCCTCGATGTATGCGGTATAAATGACGAGGCAAAACGTTTAGTCCGAGCCGCAGGTGTCTCAACAACGTAAGGGTGGAAATTTGCCGTGTGCCGGAATTTCCGAAGGTGAAATTGGGATGGCGGAAAATGATGTAAATTCGATAAGCACGCGGGTGGAGCCGCGGGCGACCGCTAGTAAGTCTATAAGAACCACACTGCAGTAACTAGCATTTAAATTTACGCAATAAACTAACAAATTAACAGCTTCCTTACTACTGTTTACTACAAAGTTGTGATCTCAATCTTTTCATTTGAGCGCCGATTGGGGTCACCAAGTGAATACTAATTGCACGGACAAGTTCATTTTCATTCTAATGTTTCCTTTACAATTATCTGTTAATTCGACAGGTTATATTGCAGATGGAAACTATATTTCACATAAATATTGACAATATTGAATGTGTTTAAAAGCTTTTAACAATTTCTACATTGATCAAGTACAATATAATTGTTCAGTTAACACGGGGTCCCACTCATCTCTAAATAATACTTGTTCTTCCATGTTTATGCTTCCAACTTCTCCACAGGAGGCATATTATATTATAATGCAATTAAATAATACAACTAGCACCGGATATGATGGTATATGTACAAAAATAGTAAAGTCAGTTTCTAAATATATTGCTCCTATTTTAAGCCACTTAATTAATACGTGTATAGCAAATGGTAAATTTCCTGAAACATTGAAGGTAACAATTATCAAACCACTATTTAAAAAAGATGATGTTGAAAATATGGCCAGTTATAGACCGATAGCACTAGTGCCCATATTCTCAAAAGTTTTTGAAAAGGTGATATGTAAAAGAATTAATGACTATTTTGAAAAAAACAATTTATTTACTGACAAACAAAAAGGTTTTAGAAAAAATATGTCTATTGATATGGCCATTTATGAATTTTTAAATCTAGTAACGTCACGAGTAGATAAAAGACTGCCAGTATTAGCGTTATACATGGATATGTCCAAGGCATTTGACTACGTTGACCATCACATTTTGCTCAGGAAATTACACTCGTATGGCATAAGAGGTAACGTTTATGATCTTCTTGAATCTTACCTTAAGAACAGACAACAATTGACCGTTATAAATAGAATATGTAATTTAACTAAAACTGAAACAAACTACGAATCTAATTACAGAACTATAACACACGGAGTACCCCAAGGAAGCGTTCTCGGACCTTTATTATTTCTTATCTATATCAACGACTTCCCCACGTCTACAAATTACCCTATGATAATGTTTGCTGATGACAGTACAATAGTTTTTGATAATAATGAATATGACAAACTTGAATGTGACATAAACAATAATATAAAATCTGTAATAAATTGGTTACAATGTAATAATTTAAAAATTAATCTGGACAAAACTTTAATTATGAAATTTGGACAAAGAACAAACAATAAATTAAACCTAAATATAAGTTACAATGACATACGTATTGCTGAAACAAATAGTACAAAATTTCTAGGAATACATATACAAAATACATTATGTTGGGATATTCAAATAGAAAAAGTATGTAGTAAAGTTAATCAATATTCTTATGCTCTATATATGTTAAGAAAAACAGTCAGTAAATCAACGCTTCTAACTGCTTATCATGGACTTGTAGCGTCAACCTTGAGATATGGTATCATGTTTTGGGGTAATGCGACTGGGAAAGAAACTGTATTTATTGCACAAAAGCGGTGTGTTAGAGCTATCTGTAATCTGAAACAAACTGATAGTTGTAAACCTTTCTTTAAAAGCTTGAAGATACTAACGTTGCCTTGTTTATATATCTTTGAAACTGCTTTGTTCGTCAGACGTAACCTTTCAAAATTTTCGCAAGTAAGTAGCCTTCGTAGAGCTGATAAATTACATTTAGCCTCGTGCAAAACTGCAATGTTTCATAAAAGCATATTCGCAATGGCTCCAAAAGTTTATAATCAACTTCCTAAATATATAAAAGATTCTGACAATATTAATGTATTTAAGAAAAGACTGTTTATGTTCTTGACAGAAAAAATATATTATTCAATTGACTCTTTCCTTAATGACAAATCCAATAGTATTTAATTATTATTTTATTCTGATCCATGTTATGCTTGACTGTAGACATTTAAGTATTGACCTATTTTGAAAATCATTGTATTTTAAACTTTAATTAAGCCTGTATATGTTTGTATTCTTTCATTTCTATAAAATTTGTACACCGATATGGTAGGGCATAGAGATCATAAAAAATATTTTTTGTAACACCAATTGTAATAACCTATGTTCACAAATAAATAAATTTGAATTTGAATTTGAATTTGTATTTTATTTATATTAACTTCTTTTTAACATTTCAATCGTGGTACTTAATTACAAACACAAAAGAAAAACAATGTCTGCTTCACTTGAGGTTTGATGAATTAAAAAACCATTGAATGCCCACAATAGATTTCCTTCTGAGTCGAGATGCGTTAACAATCAAACACAAACTATCCAGGCCCTAAACCATAATTTCTGGATCACACAAAGTATAGTTCTGTGCCGAAATCGAACTTGCTGCACGCTCCACAGCAGCCAATTGCCCAGCCGCTACGCCATCGTGTAGTCTAATATATCAATTTCTATATTTTTAATCTTTGGAAAAAATAAGACAGAATACAGATTAGGAGTATTAGGATATCACTGAGGCAAGTCTATGGACGGTAATGGAAGTTCTAAGTAACGCATATCATAACAATCATAACCTTAAAACTTCTGTGAAGACAAAGCATGGGGCTATTTTTTAAATACGGAAACTAATTAATTTCCTAATCCTATCCTGGGTAGGTCGAGACCGAGTGAGTTTCGGGAAAATTATTAAATGACTTATCCCGCACTGAGTGGAGCGAGAGGAGGTAACAGAATCTTTCTGACTAAAAACCACAAACACATTTTTCCTTCTCCTGCTTTAAACCAAACTCAGTCAGTTTTGCAACCATGCAAAATCTTAAAAAGTATAAGTTCCTAATATTCGATGCATCAAACGTATGGTCACTCTACAGTCGGTTTTATAATAGCAGACCCTATTACGAGGACATGCACTCCAGCGGTAAATGAGTGCAATAAAAATAAAAGAACGCAATCTCAACTTAACATTTATAAGGCCACACACGTTCTGAACAAATAACATGAAACCATTTGTGTACCTTCTTCTTTTCTGAGGATATTCATAGTATTAAGGTAAAAGGGAAGCTTTAATACCCTTGTAAGTTATTATTAGCTATAAGTAGCTAATTTATTGCAAGTTCAAAGGTGGCTTCTACCTGGGAGATGTAAAGAGCAAAATTGTTAAAGCCATGTCAGTCTATTTGAACAGACGGCGAGAATCCGGCGTACTAAGACATAGTTATTAAATTAAAAACCATTCCAATCTCTTTTTACAGAGGACAGGAATCCAGCGCTTTAAAAACAGCACAGTTCTCTAGAATGGCAGACAGGAATCCTGGACAATAAAGCATAATGTTAAAATTACTCACCAATAAAGACATTTCAGTGTTTTTCGGCATCATAGTGACATCACCAGGTCTGACTCCTGGCCCGCAGTATGGCAGGGAGGGTCCTCTGTTGGGTAATCGAGGGGGAGGCTCGTGGAGCGCCAGCAGTGCTGCATGGAGCCGAGCTCGTGCTGCACTGATTCCACCTGCTCCCCTCACTGCAGCTTCCACCACATCGTTCACGTCTTTCTCCCATCTAATGGTATAATGAGGAAAATGAACTAAATGATTTACTTACGTGATTTTACTGAGAAAAGCTCTACTAGTTTCGAATCACATGGGGATTCTTATTAATGAGCAGCGTGCGCGTTGCGGCGACGTTGCACTGACGACAGTGACTTGAAATTAGTAAAGCTTTTGCCGGTTAATCCACGTGAATAAGTCGTTGTTTTCAATAAATTAAGGATAGGGACCTTCATCTTGGTGATAATATTAAGAAATAATACGCATTTGGTTAGCCAAATTCTTGGAAACATGAAAGTGGGAACTGTTTTCTGATTAAAGCTGTTTACAATAAAATAGGACTTCAAAAATATATGAAGCAGTTTTTTTTTTGTTGAATTGTTCCATGCGAGAATTGAAACTTTGCGCGAAAGCCAGATACTGCTCCAACTGTGCATTTGAATCAATGTAACCTATGTCTACTTATTTTTATCTCGCTCTTTGATAAATAATGAGCACGATATTATATTAATATTACACGACACAAAATTGGAACAGAAACCAAACACGACACTAGAATTACATACTTAAGCATAGTATAGTTCCAAGATTTCACTTAAAAGATACCTGCTGTGCAGCTAAAACATTGCTTATCTAAACTTTTCCCAAGCCGAGATCAACGTCCTCGGCTAAGATACAATGTAAATGTGGATGCAGGCAGCAATCTACTTGATATATTTCTTTAGTCACTCTATACTAGAAGAGAGAGTAATACGGTTTGCCGTGGGCTATACAGGCTACCTGATCGTTGACGCAGGCATGTTACTTCTTAATAAACACTTTATAATCGAATTGAAACTTTCTCTCATAAACACTAAAATTTATTTTTGTTTTTCCTTGGTATATCAGAATTCTTTGGTATATCAACCCAGCACGGTCCAAAACTGAACTGACTGTGACTCGTTGCCTCCACTGTCAAACAATTACAATGGATTTGTGAGGATTAGTTCAAAAAACATCAAGTTATAAAGACGAATAAGTAAATACTTCAATAAAATGATTGATACTTTAAAACTATCGGAGTACTAGAAAATGTTAAGATTAAAAAAATATCTTACAGAGTCGGCAACTCTGTCATAAAACTCAATTGTAGCAAATATAGATAGGCTATGGAACCGCTCATAATCAGGTTGACAGTAACTTTGCTAAGGGAAGTAAAAACAAACTCCGCATACCTACAAACTCCTAAACAGGACCTGATATCTTCTTTGAGACTCCTGCTGAGCGTGCAAATCGGACTGGCATCGGAGTCCGATGTGGTGTGAGATCCATCGTTCTTGTCCGAGTCAGACAACCGGCGAGCCGGCGGTTCGAACTGCTCATTCTTTGGTAAGTTAGGGGACACCCTGCCGTGACTGCCGCCGCCACTGCCGTAACCTGGTGACATAGATAACATTCTAGAAGAATCTAACTATAGAAGTAAACTAGACAATTCAAATTATCCCTTCACATTATGAAAATGTTAATTCTTAAATCGGTCGGCAAACGAACAGACGGATTACCTGATGGTAAGCAATCGGTACCGCCCATGGGCACCTATAACGCCAAAGGAGTTACGAGTGCGTTTCGGCCTTTTGGGGATAAGGGTTCCGGTAAACTCACTCACACAGCGATACACAACGCTGTGGTTGTTTCACGTTGGTTTTCTGTAAGCCCGTGGTATCACTCCGGTCGAGCCGACCTAGTCGTGCCGTTGCATGGCTCTCCCATACTTTATATTTAATCTCTTATTCCGAACAAGCCGTTTGTTCTTTTTTTACATTGAGAATCATAAATCAGCTTAAATACATAAACATAAATTAATTAGTTTAAAATGATTAGAACTACAATTCGAAAAAAAAATTAAGTTACTTACCTGAGGATGTAGATGGCGCTCGGCGTGGAGTGCGCGGCGGCTCGGGAGCTTCACCCTCCGGCACTTCGTCCAAAGAGTCCACGATAATGACTACCTCTTGTTCCTCCTCCTCAGTGTATAGAGGGTTGGATCTGGCGATAGAGAAGTAACTCATATAATTTAAATGAATTATTCGACAGCTACGAAACTTTATTGTCCCATCAAACATTTTTTTTATTATTATTTAGGTAAACATGGAATTTTTATAGAAGCAAATTTTTTGAACTGTCAATGTGTATATGTGAGGATTTAAACAATATAGTATATATAGGAATGAGTACAAAAGCAATATTGTCTCATCCTCAAAATAACGTAACGGAATTTTGGTGCGGTTTTTTCAATAGATAGAGTGATTAAAGAAGAAGATTTATTATTACATTAGAGAAAATTCGTATCAGCGTTGCACCTGTCTGAAGCCGGGCCGAGTCCCTAGTTTACTAATAAAATCGTCGTGTGAACATCAACCAATTAGTACGTACGGTAAGGTAATCTGCTCGATCTGCTCAATAATCTTTACGTTTTAAAACCATTAGAATTACATTAAGCGAGACATGATCCGTGTTCAGTTCCTGGTACGGACGCAAAATTACAGAGCACTGCAAAGTTCAATAAAACTGGTCCACTTATAAATATCATTCAGTAGATAGCGAATGCTCTACAAGTAAATTGCCTATCAACCGTCGCATGTGTAGTAAATTGAGTTTTACTAACGAGTTTATTGCAATTATACTTTAATCCCTAAACAGGATTTTCTCCTGCAATGTGGGTAGGCTTGCAAACATACAAATGCACATTACACAAACCAGACCCGGAACAATGAAGTTATCTGGGGAATAATATGATGTTGTCGCGTCAGAATGTTTGTATAAGATAGTGACAGCAACAATTTTATTCCTCAGATAACATTTATCTGACCATTGAAAAATCAGCCCTTAATCTCTCAAACATAATTCGTTTTCCAAACTTAATAAAAGTTAACCTAGACCTTAGAACAGAAATAACATCAACAATGTAAAAATTAAACGCAATCACGTACAAAACCTATTACTCATATACATTAACGCAACCCTTTATGAATATACAATTTTATAAGTCAATGAACCTTTACTGACAACCAAACAAGTTAAAACAAACCTTATACCTTTTAAATAAGGTTGTAATATAAAAGACAAGGTAATAAATGATTCAGAGGTTCCTGGATATTTGCTCAACAGGTATTGTTTGGTAATATTTAGTTATTTGTGTAGCATTGTTTGGTCTGACAAAGACGGTGAGTGTATAATTTGGAATTTCGTAAAATTATTCACCTATTAGTTGATAAAATCCTAATGCAATGCGACACAAGGTCCGTTTTCAATACTCGTCAAACAGGAATAAAATCATATTTTTGTTTTGAGACAGAGTTGAACTTATTGGTGTAATTTATCAGACTGCTACGTTATAGGTTCCTGGATCGAAATACAAGTTACAGATTTTAATCACAAATCAAAATAATTTGAAGTATGTATTACTCAAGAATAAGTCTCTTTTTTATGTCATAGACTGGCAAAATGATAGGTGTAGGTCGGCGAACGCGCAGGCGGATTGGTAAGCATTCGGTGCCGCCCGTGGGCACTCGTATTTCCATAGGATTTACAAGTGCGTTGCCGAACTTTTTTCGGGTTTAACGGTTAAGAAATTTGGGGATTGAGGATGAGCGAGAAGGAGAGAGCTTCCGGTAATCTTATTCACATAGCTAAATACAACGTAAGTCTTGTTTCATGCCGGTTTTCTGAAGACGAGGCATCATTCCGATTGAGCCGACCTATTCAAGTCGAAGCATCGCTCTCCCACACTTTAATCTGCGTTATAATTTAACTGCACCGTTGGCGCGGTGGCTGGGCATCTGTCTACGGTTCGATTCCAACGAGAATATACATCTTTTTGTGATCCACAATTATTGTTCCGGGTCTAGGGTCATATGTGAAATTGGATGTTTGTAAACACATCCACAACACAGGAAAAAAGGTTAGTGTGGGGCAATGTTTCTAATTTTTATTAAAATGTATAAAGTAAGATGTTATTCTTAGTACATACCTGAGCAATGGCGGCGGCATTTGATCGAGTGCGTGCAGCGGGTGGTGCGCAGGCGGCGCGGGTGGCACGGCACGGCCGCCGCACGCGCACCCTGCCGCCTCCGAGCACTCGCGTCGCCCTCCACCCTGACAATAAGCAAATACCATAATCTTAATCATTTCGTATTCTATCTTTTTTATTTTTCCTTCTTATATTATAAGTGTTTAAGTTTGTGAGAATGTTATTCCTTCATGCAAACACGGCTGGACCGATTTGGTTTCTAGGTGTGGAGATAAGTAATACCCATTTTTTTTCGTGAGGGGAAAATCATTAAATGTCTTCTCCCGCCCAGGGTAGGTCGGGAGGAATAAGTGATATCCTGGATTAACATATAGGCTGCTTATTATCAGCATACCATTTGGACAAAGCCACGGACGGAAGCTAGAATAAGTATATTTAATATTAAGTTTTGCCAGCGATGTCGCCTGCAGTTCCAGGGTAAAAAGTACCTAATGGATCAATTATTTCAAACTATAGACTCAACCACCCATCCATCCGTCCATACTTTTGCGTTTATACTATTTCTTCCCGCCTCACCATTGGCGGTAGAAGACATTTGATGATTTTCCCGTCACAAAGAAATACCTTTATGAATAAGAATAGGACCAGATAGCAGACAGAAGAGGAGATAGTAGAACTATGCAGCTGGAAGGTTTGTTTCAACGTATTAATGTCCTGTACTAAATAATAATTCGAATAAAAAAAATCATACTGCGCTCAAAAGGAGCTTGTAAGCACTTTCAAATACAGTAGCTTGTACATTGTAATCGAATAAAATAATAAAGTACACCTTCTAATTAATAATGTAAGTTCACTTAGTCAAAAAATATTGAATCGAGAAAACATCACAAACGTAGGAATTTAATCTGTTATCTCATTAATTTCTTAATTTCACACGATTCCATAAACGCATATCTTCACGATCATTATGATGTGTACAAGGCTAGGCAGCGAGTTACATAGACAATTAGTTTAACTTACATAATGCAAAACAAAGAAATACAATGATTGTTTCGTACCGTAGAGCACACTCCACAGTGATACAATCTCCGCGCAAAGACTGTAGAATATGTTTAGATTTTTAGACTAGACAATCTTGAGCCGACCACAGCCTTACAGAAACCAGCGTGAAACAACCACAGCGTTGTGTTTCACCGTGGGAGTGAGTTTACCGGAGGCCCAATCCATCCCCTCGCCTAATTCCTCCTCATTTAACCCCAAAAGTTCGGCAACGCATTCGTAACATCCGTCGTTGCGGGTGTCCACGGGCGGCGCTGATTGCTTACCATCAGGCAGTCAGTTTGCTCGTTTGCCGATTTATCACATAAAATAATATATATATATTGTAACTATTAACTATTGTAAGCCATTCACAGGTTCTTATACGACTTTTTGTGAGAGGAAAATCATCAAATTACTTCTCTAGCGAGGCGAGAGGGAGTGTCAGACTCTTACTGACTAAAAATCCCTAATTTCTTCACCTGCTTCAGGCCGAGGCCTCGATACTTACGTTGAACATCAGTCCAGTGGATCCAGTCTATGGATGAGTCACAGGTAACGAACTCATTACTAATCCTTTGTTATTTGACACGTAGTTAATATTATAAATAAAAAAGACATTCTCAAAATAATTTCCTTTAATTTAAATAACTTAGAACCTTGTTAAAAAAAACCCAAGAAATAAGCAATTATAATAACGCTCAACTACACATAATCACTTTAACTTGAGCAGAAAGGTCTGTTGACGTGTTATCAACCGTACCATCTGTTTCATCCGGCGATTCACTTCTTTATCTTTTCACAAATCACATTAGCTTTGAATTATTCATAAAGAATCTCGGAAGTTAGCAGCGCATTGTTTTTTCACAATACTTAGAATAGTTTTTGTTGTGGAATGAAGTATTTTTTAGTAAGCGTAGAAGATAGAGATACGGTATCGTATGGTATAGTACATGCATTGATGCAATAAGGAAGGTGTTACCTACAGACTTCCATTTTGTCATTGATTTCTTTTACACGACTCTATCTATAGTAATAGTGGCATAACTTGCCAGGTTGACTGATGATGCGCGGGTTGCTAGTCGGTCAACCCGCGCATTGAACATTACAGAATAGAGAGAACATAAAGAATTTTAAAAAATAAATTAGATTTTTAAGCCTTATTTTATATTATAAAGTGTCAAATAAATATCACTTCTATCCTAGTAAAAAGAGACAATGAAGTTATATTATACATGTTTGTTCGTTTCCTTTCACGGGATCACAGGATCCCGGACCTTTGGAGGGCGTACGAGGAGCCGAAGCCAACTCGCAGAGGCCCGTTGAACATTTTTAATATAAATGTGATGGGACATCAGCCGGCAATTATCCCTGTATGCACTATAAAAGTGCACCCAAGGACAATCGAGGCCTCTACAGAGTAATGTCAGACTCTTACCGACTAACACCCGTTCATTCTCCTGCTCAGATCTGGAGAAGAAAAATTGGACCTCCGGCAACCTTACACAGCGAAACACAACGATGTGGTAATTGGAGGTTGTGGGATCACTTCGGTCTAGCCGACCTATTCGTGCCGAAGCATGGCTCTCTCAAAGTATGTCTCCCAAAATAGGACATTGAAGCAGGAAAGTGTTGAATCACGACATGCAATAATTATACAACAATTATTGTCGCTACTAACGGATGCTATTTGCGAGATCAACTAGCCACATCGCCCTCGTTCCACTTGTCTCGTGCTGTGGAAATACAGTATTAAGTAACATTTAAAATATACTGTTAAGACATTACTTATTGTTTGTTTTTGCACTGCACAATATACTGCACTGACGTCATAACAAGGGTTTTCAACTGTGTTTCTTCTTTTCTTTTTTCTTTTTTCTTCAGAAGACCTCTTTTTTTTTAAGGGGTAAATTATCATTGTATTTCTCTGGCCCAGGGTGAAGCGAGAGGGAGTTTCAGACTCTTACTGTTTTCTTCTCTTGCTCCAGGCCGGGGCCATGGTACCTTATTGCGTTTGACCAGCAGCCCCGGCTGCCGTTGGCCCCGTCTGTGGTCAACTTGCATGGTTCTCCCAGGCTTCTTTTAATGTCTGAATTTTTAACCATAACTATGAACTCTTCGTTTATGTTGGCGTTTCTTCTCAGAGAAGTCAATTAGAAATTTGAAGGTAAGTTAAAAGAACTACGTGGTTTGACCTTTTAATTCCCGGACGAGACTTAAGTCATTCTGTCTCCTGCATTAATTTTACTGAGGGAAGTGGAATCTATTTCTCCTCTTCAAATAATATCTTCTGGTTTATTTCGTTGAGGGATCTAAGTCAGTCATTCACGTCCCTAGGACGCGCTGGACTTCAGTATTCCGGTATTGCCACGGTGTTATCTACTGTAGATCCTGGCTTATAGGAGTTGCAGCAGTCCAGAGAGGTGGTATTACACCATTTAAAAAAAGATTGTAGTTCTGGATCTAACACCCGGTTTCTGAAAGGCTTGTCAACGCTAAAATTAACGAATCTCCTGTTAAATCTCTTGTCAAGTCATCTGATTGGTTGTTGATAATTCAGTCAACCAATCAGATGACTTGACAAGAGATTACCTAAATTAATTTTAACATTGATCGGCCTTTCGGAAACCGGGGTAAATGTAATTAATAATCATGTAACTTAAAGTGGGACATTTTTCAAGAAGAAAAAAAATGTTTTCTTAAAGGTAAATTAATAATTGAAATCTTACGCAATATACCTCAAGGAGGATTTCTCGTTTTCTACTAATAAAAAGGCTTCATTATCTAATATTTATCTTTACAATCAATTTGTGAATGAGCGTATTGACACTAAGTGTATATGTTGAAATTAGTTAGGTATGCCAATAAAGATAAGTTTTCCTTGTAAAAGATTTACACACAGTCTATTATGTAAGAGGTTGGACAGAATAAACAAAATAGATATTTTTTAAATAGTAACTATATCGTGAGACAGGTTGGTACAGGTTGCGGGGTAAGCGCAATGAGGCACCGCGACCTCGGCCCAGAGCAGGAGAAGGAACACACTCCCTCCCGCCCTACCCTGGGCGGGAGAAGACGGTTTTCCCCTCACAAAAAATAAATAAAAATAAATCGTGAGACATGCTAAAATTTACCAGCACGCTGCTCATGAATAAGAGTCCCGCTTGTGACCTGAAACTAGTTGAGCTTTTCTCTGCAAGTTCACGTGAGAAAGTTGTTATTTTGAATAAAAAAAAACTAGACACGTTTATTATCATTCTGAGGATAAGAATCAAGTTAATTTTGACTTTTGGATATGTTTGACACACCATTCATCTGATTGATTTTGATTTATCATTTTTTATCGTAAATATAATTATGTTGTATGTTTTAATTTACTGTGTACAATCATACGTCTTGAGCGTAGTTACTAATGCTCAAACCTTCTCCGTGTGAGAAGAGACCTTTGCTTGGCAGTGGGGACTAGTCTGATGATGGTGATATCGATTATGATGATGAATGTATGTGAGACTGTCACTTTAAGGCTCTGCCAAAATAGGTACATTCCAATTCTATATTAAAGATAGTCAATCCGCCACAAGCTTCAGCCGATTAAATAATTATTTAATTTAATATTTAAGGCCATATACAATACCGAATTTGGAACACAACCAATCAAATCGACGATTATATAAAACAAAAACGATTAAGATATTTGTAAATCGATTTCGCAATCCCTGCTCGATTCTTTTTTTGTTTTAGGAATCATTAATCATTAAAGTTATTTTTAATCTTTAAATAAATATACTATAAAACTGTTCTGTTTGTTGGAGACTTAATGGCTGACCCTCAAGCTTGGCGACTTTAGGGAGTATTTTTTTTATCTTTATTTATTTAGAGGCTTTTGCCTTAACTTTAGGGAGTAATAACAGCTTTAACTGATCCCGAACAATTCTGAAATACACGTTATCTCAACTTTCACACATCACATAATCAGTCCTTAAATGCCCACTGCTAAACAAAAGGCTCTTCTCACACGGAGAAGGTTTCAGCACTACTCGCCACGCTTGCTCAAGCATACTTGCTGATTTTAAACTAATAATTAGAA